TTGAATGTATTGTTTTTTTGTCCCTTTCTGTCCTGTTTTGTCTTTTTGTCTCTTTTGTTAATCTCATTTTTTCCCCCTCTTATTTCAGGCTGTCCCTCCACAAGATGGATTTTTCTTATTTTCTCGGGTTCTTGCCTTCTTCCTCTCCTGCATCTTCAATTTATTTTAAATCAATTGTAATATATTTGTCTGATTTAAAAAGGAAGTAAATAAATGTTAAATTGAATTGAATTGAAATTGAAAAATATCTAGTATAATAAAAAAATATTATTTTAACAATAGCTTTTAATTATTAAATCTGTTGAGATCTCTTAAAATAATGTCTCATATTGCATTGTTTTAATGTTCTGTATTATGTAATGTGCTCTATCATATTATGCTTTAATTTTTGTTAACATGTTAATAGTTAACATGTTAACACATGTTAACTTGTTATAATTCATGTTTTATTCATACAGTTTTTGAAGTTCAATCACTGAATTGACACAATTTTGACAATAAAATATTATAAAGAATAGCAACACATACATATTAAAAGAGCAAATACATACAAAGTCCAACTGTGAAATAGAGCTTAAAACTGAACAGTAACAGGCAAACTTTAAATTTATAACAGCTGGCTACAAAAATCAATAAAATTGAGATAAACAAGGAAGTTAAAATCAAAATTTCATATAAACGTTTTATCAAAATATAGAGGTGGAAAATTTGGAGAATATTGCACAATGGATGGGGTGTGGATTATTAATTATTGTTAACATGTTAATATTTAATATTAGTATACATGCTGTTATGTTAACACATGTTAATACATGTTTTCACTATGTTAACTGTTGATAACTAACTATAAACAACTTGTATTTGTAAGTGCTGTTATTATGGGGTATATTTTTTCTTGCATTTGAAGATGTTGTGATGGAGTCGGTAGAACCAGAAGTGATTGTGCAGAAGGTGAGGTTGAAGCAAGTGCAGCATAGAGACACCAGTGAGTGGAAACTTGTCCTAACACAGGTAATAATAATAAATTATTATAGGTTTTCGGTACACCGTGTAGCATATGCTACAAATCTCAATATAAATTTGCAGTAAACCACGTGAATAATTCTGAAAGGAACTAATGTGTTGAGAATATGTTTATTTTTTTTCTCGCTAAGTTGCCCTCGAATAGGAACTGCAGCAGATAACACATACTCAGTACATACTTAGCATGCTTTGATTTTTTAATGTCTTTAATACTATTAGAAAGTATAATACATACTCCAAGTATTGAAATACACGCCAAATCGTTGGGATTCAATATTACTTTCTTATCTGAGATTAATCAGTGGACCTTTCGGTTTTAATACTATTTAATACAATTTTGGAAGGGGTGTTCTGTTTCGGGAACAATGACAATTAGTTGGTTTATCCAGTTAAGTATACATAAACTAAAATACTTACATGAATAAACTAACAAATTTCCATTGTTCTTTTTAAGAAAACATTCTTACAACAAAAATAGAACCGACCGATTGTCCCTACACGTGGCTGCGCCCATTCCCAAGCGTCGTCCTCATTCCTCATTCCAACATCATTTGTGTAATTTTTAATATAACTTGAAATAACTCAAAACAATTTAGTTATAACATGAAGTACTTGTTATGTTGCAGGTTTTTAAGGCAGATGACAAAAATAGAACAGCATTGAAATTATTAAGAGACATTCAGCGAGTAAGTGTTTTCTGTTTTTCTAAACTTTATTTGGCAAATATATTAAATCTGATCAAGAACATAGTTTTCAAGTAGTTTTTACATATCTCATAGAAAGCCAAAAAAGCCAAATATTATACCAGCTTTATCAAAACATTTTTTCAAATTTACAAATCAGTTATTTTCCTAATGTCATGTTTGTGTTGGTTTATGCAATATCTATATTGGGTCATGGTTTTATTAATGTAGTTGCTTTTGTTACATATGCTGTTGATTTATTTGTATATCCAAGTGTAACTGATCTCTGTATATACATAACTATGGAAACCCTTCATTGCCAATGTTTGTGTCCTTGTGTTTGAAGGAGAGACTATGGTGCAAATATGTAACCAGCTCAGGCAATATCCACTGTTTGTTGCAATTTATGATTTCCTACAAACACCCAAAACATTCGAGAATCAGAATTTTTAACATTTTCAGGTTTTTGAAATTTATAAAAGAAGATATATTAAAGAACATTTCCGCATAAATCTAAATTATAAGTATTTCAAAATTATTTTTAAAATACAAATCTTATTAATAAACTATTGATTTGGAAGCTGTTTTCTCAAAACCTACATGGCCGATATCCAATTAATTGAATATTCATAACCTTGCCAATACTCAAATAACCAATTTCCATCAAATAATTCATAATTCATAATTTTATTTCACTCAAAACGTAATGAGTCTAGTAGGCAAAAAAGGGAACATGTCCCTGTACAAGATGCCTACCAGAGCATCTACAAACACCAAAAAATCAATTTGAATTTTTACTAGGTTGTGCCAGAGCTGGGCATACAGTATGTAATATCTATAATATTTGTGTTGTCAGATATCCTACAACAGCGGCACACAGGCTGAAGCAGGACGCAAGTGTAT